AAATGAACTTGCTGTTCAGTTGGATCACTGTGCTGCTCCTGGCCTCTCCCTCCTAGATAGAGAGGTGAAGTGTCTGCTTTATGCCGATGACCTTGTTCTGCTGTCTCCTACTGAACAAGGACTACAACAACAGCTGGACATAGTAGACCAGTACTGTAAGAACTGGGCCCTGGCAGTCAATATGAACAAAACTAATGTCATGGTTTTCCAAAAACACCCCAGATGTCCGAAGAACAAATACCATTTTACCATAAACAATCATATCATCGAACATAGTATGAGTTATACCTACCTCGGTTTAACCATAACAGCATCGGGAAGTTTCAACATGGCAGTGAATGCACTCAAAGAAAAAGCCAGAAGAGCTCTAAATGCAATTAAGAGAACATTTTATAATGTCCAAATTCCAATTAAAATCTAGCTCAAAATCTTTGATAGTGTGATCCAGCCCATTGCGCTGTACGGTAGTGAAGTATGGGGTCCACTCAGTCACCAGAGCTATACCCGCTGGGACAAATATCCAACAGAGTCTTTACATGCAGAATTCTGCAGATACATTTGACGTGTTCAGAGAAAAACACCAACAAATGCATGTAGATCAGAATTAGGCAGAGACCCACTGATCATTAACACTCAAAAGAGAGCACTAACATTCTTTAACCACCTTAGATCCAGCCCCCGAGACACCCTCCACTCCAAAGCCCTCCAAAGCCAAGAGCTAACCCCAGAGAAGAGTCCCCTATGTCAGCTGGAGCTGAGGCTAGCTGCCCCCTCTCAGAGCCACTCTGACCAGTCTCTCAGCAACACTGCTCTCCAAACACCAATCACAGTCAAACGCATTATAACACAATGCAAACACAACTATTTACAACATTGGGAAGAAGAAACTAAAAGCCAAAGTAGATTAGAATGTTACCTGGCTCTAAACAGAGAGCTGGCAGAATATCTCTCTACTGTCAGAGACAGAAAGCAGAGACAGATCCTAACCAAGTACAGGCTCAGTGACCACAAACTGGCAATCGAAACAGGAAGACTCAAAAGAATATGTGGTCACTGTACGACAGGTGAGACAGAGACAGAGATGCACTTCCTCCTGAAGTGCCAAACATTCAACGAAGTAAGGAGCGTTTACTGGAACAAGTTGAACTCTGTAATCCCAGGTTTCAAGGAGGTTGATGACCTCTCAAGACTGAGAGTACTCCTAGGACGGACGGACGGACGCACACACACACACGGACACACACGGACACACACGGACACACACACCACACACACACACACACACACACCACACACACACACACCGCACACACACACCACACACACACACCACACACACACACGTAATTGTATCACTGTATATATATATATCAATAATATGTAAACATTTGAAATGTATGTTAATGTTGTTAAAAATGTTGTATTGTGATGCTTTGGCTACATTGTTTAATTTAACTTTCATGCCAATAAAGCCCCTTTGAATTTAATTGAGAGAGAGAGAGAGAGAGAGAGGAGAAGAGAGAGAGAGAGTATGAGAGGGGAGAGAGAGAGAAGAGAGAGAGAGAGAGAGAGAGAGAGAGAAGAGAGAGAGAGAGAGTATCAGAGAGGAGAGAGAGAGAGAGAGAGAGAGAGAGAGAGAGAGATATAAACAGCTCAGGTGAGGTTAGGGACTCTCTGAGTTCATTTTAGTCTAAGTTATCTCAGTGGGTCTCAAACAAATATGTGTTTACAAATTATGTAAACACATATTTCCAAGGCACTCCTTTATAATTATTAGGATAAATAAAAACAGGTTTGAAATCATTCCAATGTATACTATAGGATAGTAAACCAAAAATATATGTATTGAGATACAAAAATATGCATAAATAAATGGTAAAATAAGATATAAATGAACAACAAAAATAAAATAAATTACATTTATTTGTTATTGGCTATGGTAGGTTATTGGTTATGTTCACATACTTATTTGATTATTAAAATGTAAACCGATTTTTCATATGGGTGTTTAGAGTTGTACCCCCTAGATCTCTAGGTCTCTATTAATTGGGCGCTCAAAGCGCACCAGATTGAAGCATACCCCCGGGGGTATGCTTCAATCTGGTTTGTTTTAATTGTTTTAATTGGGGGGTGGACATCACCTCCTCTAAGGGGGTCCGGACCCCCTTAGAGGAGGTGATGTCCACCCCCCAATTAAAACATGTTCATACAATACTGAATACATTTGAAGCCATTTTGACGTCTATTACCTATGTCAATAAGTTTCTGTTTTTGTAGTGTATTTGTCTTTAGTAGAGATTTTTCATTTATTCTTTACATATAAAATCTCACCTAGGGCAGCAAATTGTCTAGAACCGGCCCTGGTGCTAGGCCTCAAGAGCCTTTCTTGTGCTGGCAGACTCATAGAAACAAATTGACGGGGCGCACTTCGCACGCACTAAAAAATTCCACGCGCTCCGCGCTCACATTATGCTGGGCCCACGTGCCTTAGCACCGCTGCTATGACTCCATCCTAGGGGAAACACTGGACACTGTGCCAATATATTGTAAGCCAGAAGATACAACTCAACACAGAAGTCAGTTAGTCTTTTCCACTGTTTATAACCTAAAAATGAGACGACCTCTACAAAGGAATTACTTGAACTATTATTTTGCATGTTTAACATTATGGTCCAGAGAGTCAAACACTGCGACATTCTCAATGAGGGCAAAGTCAAAAACATGAGACATTGTCATTTTAAAAGCAAGTATCAAAGCAATACACCAACTTCTGAAAGTAATTGCCAGGGGATGTTGACACATCTGGAATTTCAGCCCATGTCAGGACATTAGCTATTCATTTTCTTTTCATAAACTGTAGTAGATCAACTGCACAATAAAACTGCGCTTCAGTTGCTGGAGCGCTTGTGCAGCGCTGTTCTAACTGCATTCTTTGAAGACATTTCAACTGAATATTACTTGTGTTTAATGAATTGAATTGAAAGTAAATACAAAACACTGTTATGCTCTTCTGACAGAGCGGCATTAAAAACTATGGCAGCTGATGCCGCAGTTCAATACATCATATTTCACTGACATCTATTAAATTGTCATTAAATGATTTGCCTCCTCTGTGCGAGCAGAGTCAAGGATGTCCAAAAGGAGAGAAGGATGTGGTGTACTAGGATTTTGATATGTTTGTAGTCGCTGCCTGCCATTCACATTATTATATTGTTAAAAATGGTTAACTTCACACCCATGTATTGTGAAGACAGCATGGCATATGCTGGAGGTTCCTGTAGCGTAGCATCCTGATACAGCTGCTGCGCCATGGGAGCCAGGCAGAGCTCTCTTTTCTCACTTTGTGTTTTATGACCGCATTAATAGGGTGCACTGCTCAGAAACTTCCACTGTATATATTTTCAACCTACTTTCATATCAGTAAAGCAAGAGTTTTTAATAAAAATACATCAATATTTAAGACACATGTTAAGCTTTCATAAGAACAAATCCTTTGGGAAGTTGGTGTATTATTTTAAACAATTCATGCGGCACTCAAAATGTCCAAAAAATCAAAACAGCAAACCAGAGCTGGACCATACTCCCTGACAACCAAAGCAGCACCAGACCATTAGCAACTGATTCACCAGAGGAGAAGAAATAAAGACTATATTTCTAAACCAAATACTCCCACAAAGTTGAAGTGTGCAGTGTAAACTGTTTAATCTGATCCAAAAGTCATTATCAACATATGCTGTCAGCTGTCTGAAGTTTGGTACTGGGATAGTGTCTGGTAAGTGGTACAAACTAAGTTATTTGGAAAACCCCTTTCACCCCAAACCAAAAGCATGCAAGGTACCTTGTAATGGAATGGATCCTTGTATGAGCTTGCATGCAGTATAACATTCTTCACAAAAAACACAAGATGGAAAGACCATGAAAGACCAATACAACATTTGTTTAGTGTCCTCCCACCAATAACACAGTATGCTGTGCTGGAGCTAGTGTTGGGGTAGTTTCCTTTTCCACCGGCTAGAGCCTGGTAGCAGCGAGGTCTTCGGGTCAGTGTTTACATCACTAAGTTGGAGGTGTGCCAACATTATTATTGTATTGTCTTTGAGAAGTTTAATGGAAAACAATGCGATTCACATTATAGAACTCCAAATTGCTGAAAAAGCATCAAGCATATGTATGGTATAGTTTTTACTCACCTTTAAAACTTTGAATTAGTAAGTAGGCTGCTTATAATATTTTTCACTGTGATCTATCTTATGATGGTCTGATATGACAACTTACACCTGACACCCGTTCAAAATGTATAATGGCAGCAGGTAGTCATTGAAAGTATGGTGTATAGTAAATAGTATGTCACACGCATGTCCGGTTAATTTTCACGGAGAGCAGTCTTCAAACTATGCAGCTCTCAGTTCTCTGTGCCAGCTGGGCTCGGGTGCCAATTATTCTGCATTGGAAACATGGAGAACTTAACCTTGAACTGCCTCTGTTGAAAAGGAGGCTCCTCGTAACCGTGCCATTGGTGTGCTATATGCTATGTGCTTTTATAGTGTCCTTTTATGCAAACTAACATGATAGCCAACATATTGGACTCTTTTTGGAAAAATATGAACACATCAATTGTTAAATTCAATCAAAGACAATTAGAGACAATGACAAGGTTTAGTTATGGGACCATACATTACAGCAAAGAGTCAGGCTATGCTGTATTCATTGAGCATTGCAGACCAGATTCAGATAGTTACGTCATTACTAAATGATAAGATGGCAAAAGGTTCTCTGTGCAGGGCATTGAGCTTTTCAGGGGGTCTGGTATGTGGTACGAAAAATAAATTGGTAACCCTGCATGTTAAATTGTGGGTAATACCATTCAATGCATAAATGAATACAGTTCCATTAGAAAAGCAAGGGAGAGAAAGGTCAGCCGGGGCTGCAGGGGTGGATGCACGGGCAGCGTGACTCACCAGAGAGGGGAAAAAGGCATGGACCATGGTGAGTTTCTCTACCTTGTCTCTGAGGGAGAAAGTCCCATGAGCCCCCGCTGGCAGGAAGCTGTTCTGCACCCTCAGCTGGCCGAGGTTGGCCACAATGACCCTCGGCGAGCATGAGCTCTCTGGGATGAGAATAACTGGGGCACCAGCCTCAATATCCAGCAGAACCCTGGAAGCCCGCTGAGGATGTTCGCGCACCTGTAGGGGACAGGAAGAGGGAGAGAGGAAGGGGCCAGGTGAGAGAAATCAAACAGAGTAAAGGAAAGAGTAGGAAAATAAATGGACAATAAGTTAAGCAGCAAGCAGGGGAAAACTTTATTCTGATATCATTACTATTACAGACACAACCGTTGAGAAGTCAAGAATCATCTGTTTTAACAAGATTAACACCAAAGGTTGTATTTATATTTGAGACAGTTTTGCTCTAAAAAAGAGAAAACAAATAATAGAACATTCCATTCAGTGGATGTCCACAGTGATGCATGATCGGCAGAGTGATGAAGAATATAGTTAAATATTGTTTCGGATTCCACTCCAGAATGACTTGAGTGATTCTTGTGAAGATTGAAACAAATGGGTGTCTCTATATATTGAGTTACAGCCTATTCCTCTGGGCTGCTCCTGCCCTGTACAATGCCATCTGGTCGCCCTATAGTATATTGTTTGTTTTCCATGTACACAAACAAACCAGTTATACAAATAAAAGAGGACATCATGCATGCACACTTATGATGGATAGCTGATATTCAATGTAGACTTATGTTTGTCAAAGACAGATAATAATACCCAACCAATGTAATTTGCATTAACTTTGATTTCTTGGAGTTGCTTGTTTGTAAAATGTTCAGCTAAGCTGAAATGAGCAGTAACTAAAGCAAAGTGCTTCACAAAGTACTCACAGCCTGGCCCTCCATAGCAGCCCTCTGCCTGCCGAGAACATCCTGTAGCTGGGTGAAATGTTGGATGAAGGCCACCACCTCGGCCTGAAAGCGCTGGGTGTGGACGTACTGCACGGAGGCCATCTGCAGGGACACCTTGATGTCACATTCCCGCTCCAGGTAAGGATCAGGCTGGCCGTACCTGAAGGGACGGGAATACGATGCTGAGTAAAAGCAGACTGATTCTTTAAATCCCTTCGTATCATACAGACTTATTCTATGCTCAAAGGTTAGCAATACATACTTATGGATGTTGAAAATAAGGGCCTCCCCTCCTCGGGTGGTGAAGCGCTCTCGGTAGAGATCACCATGTGGTGTAAGGTCACTCAGGGACAAACTTCCTAAACTGCCTTGTAATGCCAGGTCGCCATCTTAACGATAAGACATCATGACATCATTAAACTTCACATTGTCCTCACAAGTTGATCTATAACACCATTTTGTTGTGTTGTCTTTTACTAGGCAAGGTGAATCTATGGTATTTCATACGCACCCATCATTTCTAGATGAGCAGACAGTTTGGACACACTCGCTCTGGCAAGCTCATTGGTTTTCTTGTTTAGTACAAGAGACAAAGAATGAACCTGAGAATGGAAACATAAAAAGGTTTATTAATAAAGCATTCACTTCAGAACTGACTCTTCAATTCACAACAAGAAAGGCTGGAAGTGAGACTAGAAAGAGTTAGAAGTTGTACATCCAATAAACAGCTCATAAATAGAATGGGAACATGTCCTGTTAAAGAAAGCAGGTGCAGTCATTCAAAGCTGCATTACACGCTATACCATGTTTTCACTATTAAAGTCAAGCGTAGCAGCAGTGGACCGTTACACATATCAGGAATATCATTTCAAAATCCTGAGCTGTAAAATACATATTCTTCACAAAGAACTGCAAAGTGTGTACATTTCATTTTAAAGTCACTGTCATATACTGCGAGTTGGTTTATAATCATTTTAAGAGCTGACCTGTTGATTATATAGTCATCATCTTTATATCCACCTAGAGAATGTGTTCTATATTTCACAAAGATATTCAAACTTCTTTTTGAAATGTGACCTAACAATGTCACTTTACTGTGGTGCTAAAGAGAAAGACAGCATATCAACAAACGCAGTTGCCATCATCTTCTGGACACCATAAATGTCTGTATGTAGGATCCAGCCAATAACTGATGAGACATTTCAGTGCCAAAACCTCTGTGGTGGCTGAATCAAGGAACTGACAGATACATTTTCATCCTATTCTCTGTGGGAAACAAATGTTTTAAATGACCTTTTAAATATATTGTGTAACAGAATGCAGCCTACTAACATGACAGGCATCGGTTGGGCAGCCCCAGGTCCAGTGACCTACCTTAAGGTCCACTTTAGTGTTGACAGCCTCGGATGTCTCCTCCTCAACGATGTCGGGCTCATACAGAGGCTGTCCTGGCTCTTGGGGGGGGGACATAGGGGGCACCTTCACTGCATGATTATTGGCAGTGGAGCCAATACCAAAGAAGTCAAGGATAACCACCCAGGTCTGCAGTGTGATCAGAACGTCCAGGCAGTTAAAGTCCACATCAACGCTTCGTCCCACTCTGCCGTAGCGTGTTTTGAACTCTGGGTGGTTCTGGTCGACCAGCAGCACATTGATATGAACTAGGGAGTCATCAAAATCTGGAGGGGGCTGAGGGGATGGTGTATGACGGGTAGGGGAGGGAGGTGGAGTGTTGGGACAGTCTATGTCTCTCTTGGATTTGCGAGGGGCAGCTGACGGGGTGCTGGGATGCCTCTGGTAGAGCTGAAAGACGTTCTGGGCCTCCTCCATGTGTGCAGGCAGTGAGCGGGGCATGTCTGGGTACAGCGCATTGGATGCTGATGGACAGCTTTGGGAAAGGTACTCCTTTGGGCTGAAGGTGGAGGGCTTGGGTGCTCCATGAGACACCATCAAATGTTTGTATTTAGACTCAGGGTTCTGCTCCAGGAGGTCCTCCATTAGCAGCGAGCGCAGAGCTAGCTGGACTGTTAGTAGATGAGGATGGTCTTTGGTGAAGTCTCCCTCCAGATCTCGGAAGCGCAGGCTGACCAAGCCCTGGGATCCCTGGGTCAGGTCAGCACTGAGCTGCACCTGCAGTTCTGCCACATGTAAGGTGACTTTGAACTGAGTAAAGGAGGAGTGATTAGCGGGTTTGTGAGACTGGAGAGGCAAAGGAGAGGAAAGTGACGAGTGGGAAAAGCTCATATAGGGAGGGTCCCTTGCAAACAGCCCTCCCTGGGGGTCAGGAAACCGGTGCGGTCTGGTGGAAGAAGGCGTTGGTGGAGGTGGTGTGGGCGGTTGGCTGGGTGTGACACGTTGCTCCTCAATCAAGGACAAATTGTCCAATGTCTGCAGTACTTGTTCATACACAGGCTTGCACAGGAACACCTATAACCAGAAAGTGAAGCATTGGTCAAATGAATACCAGTTAGTAACCCTATTTCAAACATGTTATTTAACAGCTCTGCACTCAAGCATAAAGGTAAAGTCCCCTCTCTTATTTTCAAAAGGGAACTGGTACTTCATAGTTGAAGTTGACCATCATTTAAATTCTGCTAGTATTTGAACTGGGGACAGTTTTAATATGATGTATACCTGAACAGAGTTGACAAATTTGCCCTCGATTCGGAGAAGCCCTGTGCTCTTACAGGGCTCCTCTGCAGTGAGGAAGGTGAACTGGGTGTCTTCTTCAACTGGAACCTTCTCCACGGTGAACTGTATAGTGGTGTCTTTCAATATATGGAAAGCTGGTAAAGAAAACAAACATGTGGTCTTGTGTAAAAAGCTGCATCTAAAATATATGCTTATATTATTTGCATCTCCAAGCACATAGAATAGCATTCGGAACACACGTATGAATGAAATGGGTCAAATGTTTACCTTTTCCACGGTTGAGGGATTCAAAGAAGTCATGGCGTGTGAATTGTGGCTCATCATGATTCATACTTCCGTTGTGGGATGGTGACATGCTGCCAGCTCTGTGTGTCCTCTTCAATACCAAATGACTCATGTTGACTGAATACAGTCGGATATCCTTCACCAACACCTGTAGCTTCTCACTTTCAGAGTCTTGCCCGGTAACACAATTCTGAATTGTTATGCTTCCCAGATGACCAACCAACAGCTCAGGGTGTCCAGGTTTACGGGGAATGGAAACAACTGGTGATTCAATGCTAATATTAAGAGTCAGCTTCACCAAGAATGTGTCTAAGGTGGATTCAGGTTCCTCCATGGGAGGATCCTCCTCCTCCTCATATGGATAAGCCCAGCTCTGACTCTGAGTTCGAGTTCTCCGTGAGGGAGTCTCAAAGAGCGAAACCATACCGCTGTACTCTGCCGTCTTGGTGGCTAGAACTGTTGAAACTTTGGTGGCAGCGCTTTTCAGCATGGAGCGGAAATTGTCTTCAACCTCATTGGCAGACAGACTCAACTCCTTTAGGAACTTGGCTGAGTGGTTATAGTGCAAGGAGGCCATTTGAAGTTCCAAGGAACACTCCCCTTGTGATTTCTCCATTAGGCGGAAATGTAAAGCTTCTGAGGAAGAACCTTCTATGTCAGCAAGGAATGTTAATCCGCCAACATTGCAGGAGCTATCAGCACTACCAATGCTAACAACAAACTGGCTTCTGCCTCCTTCCTGGGTCAGGTCCACCAACTGCATGGACCCGAGTGACCCATTAATGTCCAAACGACTGCCCATGGACACATTGACCTTGGTGCCTGTGATGCTGGCAGTGGCAATCTTCAACCCTTTCTTCTCAGCAAACTGGGCAGTGCCAGTGGACACAGTCCGGAGTAGAAGCAGGTTAAGACGATGGATCTCCACAGTCAGCTCTTTGTTCTGGTCATATGTTGCCTGATATGTCCCTTCCTCTTCCTCACTGCAAGGCTGTGTTGTGTGTTGCTGTGCTGACGATGTCCAGGAGCTTTCTTCCTTAGGAAAAGACTTCTGGAGGAACTTGAGTAGCTCCACCATGGTCTCAGGGTTGAGAATGATGTCCAAGTTATTGACCTGCATGCTTGTCACCTGGAGGGAGCTGTCCAGGTTCATGGAGGGGCAGTCTGAGCTCACAAACTGGTACTCAAGCTTTATTAGGGCCTCCTGGTCTTTGAGAAAGGAACTGAAGGGGGAGATTCTATCAGTAGGCATACCAGAGGGTAACTCAGTATGATGGCACTGATGCCCGGGAGACCTGCCTTCAGACAACAATGGGGACGAAGGCTGGCTCTCCCGGAGACTGCCCGAGGGTATGTCAAAACTGAGATTTTTATGTGAAGCCACAAGGAGGTCGAAGTCTGAGCCATAGGTCTGTAAGGTGTCTACCAGCAGAAGACCATGGACAGTTAGGGAGACTTCAGCATCATAAGGCCGCTTGACAAATTTAGCATTTGTGCCAAATACCTTGAGAACAGATATGTAGCGGCCATCGCTTTCTACACCAAGCTGCATGTAGTTGATGTTGAATTCCGCTAAAAGTAGACGGGATTCCACCAGTACTTCCCGTGTGTGCTGCTCTAAAGTCATCACACTCTGGGTCAGGTTCTTGGCTGACCCTTGAAGCTTCCAGGAGCTGTCCTGCCTCTGAAAGATTTTGTCATGGCGGAGGGTAAGGGGATCAGGGGAATGTATATTTGGGCCCTTCTCTTGGCTTTTGTCTTCTTCACTGCTTAGCCTAGCCAGACAACTCCTAAGGGCGGTCATCTTCTCAAGGTTGATATGGACCTTTAGGTCTGGTAGAGTTCCTGACAACACAGCCCCAGGGAGCTGGGGGTCCGAGGTATAGCGCAGTCTCTGCTCAAGCTGGAGCAGCACATTAAACTTCTCCACCACGTGAGTAGGCCCCACCTCACTCTCTTGAAGATGTTTCCAGTTGTCCTTGAAGCGACCAACCATTATCTGCAGGTCCTTAAAGGACAAGGAGTACTTTTCATAAAGCTTTCTCCTGTAGGCCTGTGTACCTTCAGGGGATATGAAGCTGGGGAGTTCAGGGCTTTTGAGCTGTTCTTTCAAAGACATGTCTAGTTCAGATGGTGGAGACTCTGGTGGGGTAGCAAGGGGGGTCTGGTATTCATCTTCACTCATTTCTTCCGTTTCAGGTTGAGTCGTTTTTAAGCTGGCCTTTGTGTCATCTTAAAAAAAAAACATTACGAAAGGTATGAGCTGAGTTAGAAACCTCTTAAGGCAGAAGAATAAAGATAATGAGGTATATCATTTTCATTTTCTATTTGCTTAAATGGTTGCTTTGTTTTACCTTGAGAGTTTGTGAGGAGAATCCTGCCTAAATCAACAACAACTAGCATCGGGTCCTCTGACTGGAAGTCATCAGGGAAAATCACCTGGGGTGCACAGATGTCCAGTTTCATGGTCCAACGCTTGCCATTTTCCTACAAAGCAAAACTGTGGCTTTTAGAAATTATTCAACCTCCAATTATTTAAATTCATCCTTCAGTGAAACTCTTACAATAAACTCTCCCACAAGCAGCTGATCAATGGTCTGTCGAATCTCCGCTTTGGTCTGCATTTTCAGCTTGTTGTACTGCCTCCTGGCAGCTTCTGCCACTCTCAGCTCCAACTCCGACTGATAGCCAAAACCTGAGAATCAAAGAGAGATTTTTAAATGTAAGAATATTCTGGTTGTGAAGAAGTTGATGTACAGTACTTGGTAATGATGATATTCTATTAAAACATCTTTGACATGCTTTAAATGAATGCTTATCTTGGTATGTGCCGTTTGCTTTAAAAGAGCATAAAGTCGGTTATAACTGCCCTTGCTATTTAATCAATCTACAGTTTGTATTCTAAGAGTAACATTTGATTGTACCGAGTGATTTCCAGTGTGGATTATAAATGAGGTATCCTGCTTCGTCTGCCAACATCAGAAGATATTAAAACACAGCTGTTTTTGGACCATCATCTAATCAAGAACTTCATGAGCTGGTAACAAGCCTGATTCAGCTCAACAGCTGACATTGATTGATTGTTAGAATTGCATGTTGAATTCGACATAATTAATTACATTTTCATCAGTCCCTGACTTTTCCCTTCTTTAAATGTGTTGTTTGACCTCTGACACAGATTAGTAGAAGGGTATAAAAAGAATATTTGCATGTTAAAAATCTAAAACGTCTATAGATGTTTATGGAAATGTTGAAGATGCTTGTTTGTAATTGTATTTTCTATAAAACTACATGAGTTTATGTCTAAAATATGTAAAGTGCACCAGTCTTGGTAAATATGTTCTTAAGAAAATGCATGTTCTCCATAAAAGGGCAACACGTTCCAGTACTTACCTGAGGTATGAACTCTTCCTTTATAGAAGAACTCTGTCACTTTTTTGATTGCTTGCGGGTTGTAGATGATGTTCAGTGGACTGGTGTTCACTTCCAGTCTCCGCTCAAACTGACACCTTACAGGGTTTCGCTCATAAATCATTTCAAACACTGGTGATGATGAGCACTCTGCATTGCATCCTGAGGGCACACAAACAAAACCAACATTGGATCCTTTTGAAAGACAAACAGCTGCTGGGAGTACGCCACACTGCCACTACCAGAGAGGGTTACTCCCCCCGTCTTACGGAAGCCTAACAGCAGAATGAAATATACCCATAGATAAAAAATCAAGTATCACCTGCACCTAAATAAAGAATGTTGAGTAAACTACCTAGAATTTAGAAAGAAAACTGTTAAATAATGTATGGTTCACATTAAACATAGCTTTGATAAACCAACCCTAAAGGTATCATAAGTTGTCCCAATGTCACAAGCTCAGAGAAAGTATGATCTGTCATTAGGAATTGATAACATGAGATTAAATATAATCTTTTTAAAGAAAATGCTTACCAGAGGTACTGCTGGACTGGCCCGATGGCTGGTTAAGGGCAACAACAACTTTGTCCTACAACGAGTGACACGTTTGAACATCAGAACCTCACACAACATATTGTAGAAAATAACAGTTTTATCATAAAATGAGAAGCTAGAAATTCACATTTCCAAACGTTTCTTTACATTATAAACTCTCTGCCCATCCGTGTCCATCGCTGCTTACCGTTTTGGGAGACACCAGGACGGGGAAGATGGTGCCCTGAGTAGTCAGGTCTCTCAGGAAAAGCCCCCCCAGCTTCACAGACAGCAGGGAAGACTCAGAGCGAGGGAGGGACTCCAGGATCACCTTCACCCCTGTGGAGAGTTGGTTAAATCAAGGCAGCGGTAAACAGGAATCTGAATCTATTGAAACCGCTAGAAGACATAAACACTTTGAACTCTTTGGACACATGCTAATCTCTCAAAGAGGGGAGCTGATACTTAATGACCAATTATGAATTGGTCATCCCAAGTAAGTCAAAATAGCTTGAACAACACTTCTAATCTCGTTTCAATTATTAAATTGAGGTTGGATTACTCCTAACTCAGTTAGTTTTTGTAAAAGTCTTGGGGTTCACATATTTTTTCCATCCTACACTGTGAATGTTTGAACAATGATTTCAATATGGATAAGAACAAAATAATAATTTGTGTGCTATCAGTTAAAACAGATTGTGTTTGTTGATTATTGTAATTGAAGTGAATACCAGAGGCCTCATTTATAAAGCTTTGCGTAGGATTCACGTGGGAAGGTGGCGTACGTAGGACAAGCAAGTAAATACGCACACAAATATTCCGATTTATAAAACACTGCGTACGGCACGTCCTACGCCGGTTTCCCTTCACAATCAACTCGAAATGCGGTGCAGCTTTTGCGGGCTTCACGTAACGCCCATATTGCCTATAAATAGTCAAAGAAACGCCCCGTATTAATATTCATTCTGACTGACTGCATGAAGAAGATCGCAGGAAATGACGACAGAACAGCTAAAAAAGACATCTCACACCGTGTCAGATTCTGGTTCTTTTGGGGAGGTGGAGACAAATCACATTGTTTGGTGGATGCCGTTTGAACCAGAGTAGCAGCATGGAGGTCGGATCGTCACCAAAATAAATAAATAAGTGGTCCGAAAAAAGTTAATGACAAAAACAATACACATAGCCTTCCTCAGGCAGTGTGTTTGTGCCGGGGACAGGAGACCCCCCCTTGATGAGAGACTGTAAGTGGAGTCAATTCATGTTTATTTTTTTATTTGGTGGTTTGTGTTCCGGCTGTCGATCAGCTGTGCGCAGCGTCTCTACTGCAGCCTGTGTGTCTCAACCAACTCTATCCAACTCTATCCACCACTTAAATGAAATAAAACTAATGTGTTGTGTTATATCAGCTGCCAAATATATGGTGTTCTTAGCTTCCATACCTCCTGTGTTTTACGAGCGACTTATCAAGTCTTAGCAAACGGCATAAAACATGATTAAACGTGATAGTATATAAAACCATGCTCATATCTACAACCTATAGAAATGCAAAACGGCCTCAGTTTAGACGTAATGCTGTCCTCCTGCTTCCCGCATCATTTATGAGAAAACATTTCATAACATTAACACAACATATTCGAGGTGGTTTTAAATAACATATCCGTATTTATTTATTTCTCCAAGTTATGTTTTTGTGTGCACTGAGGAGTCTCAAACAGGCGTTTGTTTCATCATTTTAAGATTGGCTTTAATCAATGTTTGAAAATGAATTCTTCATATATGATAAATGAGAGGTAACATTTTGTTTATGGTATTATTTCCACACATTTCTCTCCATTCTTCCTTCTGCCAACGGTGTCGCAGTTTCTCGTCTCTCCCGTTGTTGTGCTTAGTGCGTACGCATGGGTTAGAGTTTGCGTGGAGGACCGCACGTTTTCCCGTCAAGTTGGTATTTTATAAATCGCAAAGATTGCTTAGAAACTGGCGTACGCCATCTTTTGAGCGTACGCACCGTTTATAAATGAGGCCGCTGACCATGTTTTGGGACACATTTATACATAAAAGCAGGTTATTCAAAAGGGTTCCCATAATTGTTCTTGCCACAGTATATACAAGTCTAGATTTTCATTGTTGATCCGTAGAAATCTTTAGCTTTATTGTCTCTTAAGTGAAATGTGTCTAAACTCTGCCGCTGTACCTGAAAATTCCAACTGGATGACCCCACTTTCGGTCAGAGAGCCCCCCCTCCTGTCCTGGTGGAAGAGCGTGACTCCGCCTTTCTCCAGTAAGAACTCCAGCCGTGCAAACAGGTGATCTCTCCTTGTGAACGTGTTCAGAGTGTGAGAGTCCTCCAACGGGTTGAACAGGTCTTCTGTCTCTGCTGGAGAATTATTATATGATCAGGGTCAGCGGACAGAACCACTAAAGATAGAAAACACAAACACTGACTCTTCATACACAAGTCTAAACCTAATGGAACTGGAGATACAAAGCTAGTCAAATCAACCCTGTGGTTGAACTTCCTCCAGATCTTATGGACAGACTGAAGAAGGCGCTACATGCTGTCAGTCAGCTGGTCAGACAGGGGGAGTCTCACCCAGAATGTCCCAGGAGGACGGACTGGGCTGGAGGTCCTCAGGCCTCTCTGGGTCCTGGTACTCTCCATACCAGCCTCCCCAGCCCGGGAACCATGACTGCAGGTACTGGATCATTCCTGAGCTCCCACTCTTGGGGATGGATGTGGGGGGTTCACAGAGCGTGGGGTCACTGCTGGGCTCGCGCACATTCTGGAAGAGAATACAGCAGGCTGAAACTAGAACATCACCATATTTAGGGCATCAGAGAGAGACTGTTGGTTGATTGCTGTGTGTGTCCAGAGACTCATTGCTCACTTGGCTTCCACGATTTGGATTTTCTTTGTAAAAACTATAAATAATACAGTTTAGGATATATGTTCCTTATTCAAAAATGTAATTGTATCTTCATAAAAGAATCAGAGAAAATACTATTCTATACTGTGTGCCTGTTATAGGAAGTCAACCATTTGTTTACAACCTAACATTGTGTATTTATTTATAAAAAAACTATCGATTCAGAATCTTCTCACAACAATGTTAAGGTGTGTGTAATATAGCAGCACACAGAGAGAGCCGACCCTGCCTCCCTCTGAGCACGAGCTTGTCCTCTGGGAGTTCAGTATAAACTAGCCAGAAGGGGATTTGTCTTACTAGAAAAAAAGCCCCTTAAAAGGGTTTGAATTTGTTGTGTTTGTTATACAGTAATAAATAAGTATAAGAATGATCTAAACCTACCTCTGCGATTTCTTCCTGCTTTCGAAACCAGTCATGAACTATTTCTCGGAGACTCTGCAGCTCCTCTAGTGTCTGCTCCTCTTCCACTCGCTGCAGCTCGCTCTTCAGATGAACACAAACAGTGCATATGAACAAATCATTTGTTCCAAATGACATAATCATTTTAAAATACTTGATTGGTTGTGCATCACAGGATGTGAAAAAAAACTAAAACATATTTGAATGTGTGCCTATTTATAGACTCCCCTCCAAAACTATTAGAACAGCCAGGCTAATTCCTTTATTTGTGCTATACACTGAAAACAATAAAACAATTGGGTTTGACATCAAAAGATGAATATGAGACAAATGGTCAGTATTTCAGCTTTTAATTCCAAGTATTTACATCTAGATCTGTTAAACAAGTGAGAAGATAGCACCTTTTGTTTAAACCCACCCATTTTCTAAGTGAGCAAAAGTATAGGACCATGTGACTGAGGAGTGTCCTGTTACTTTGATTATTCAAACAATAAATAGCACTGCATGTCTGCTCTCAGTTTGAGCTTTTGCCTGAGCAGACTGCCTTTATAGTTCAAACGGTGTAACCAACATGAAGACCAGAGAGCTGCCTATGGGAGAAAATGCTTCCGGTGCCTTGCTCAAGGGCACCACGGCAGGGCCCAGGAGGTGAACTGGGACCTCTCCAAGTACCAGGCCACACTCCATATTTAGGTCTGTTCGGGGACTTGAACCGGCGACCCAACGGCTCGGACGGATCTGCTCATGATTCCAACACACAAGCTCATCTGTGAAACATGGTGGAGGTGATGTCATGGCTTGGGCTTGCATGGCTTCTTCTGGACGGGCTCATTGATCTTCATTGATGATGCAACACATGATGGTAGCAGCTAAATGAACTCAGAAGTCTACGGAGACATTTTGTCTGCACATTTAAAGAGAGATGCAACCAAACTGATCGGGGGATCCTTCATCGTGCAGCCAGACAACGACCAAAACACACTGCCAAAACCACCCAGGAGTTTATCAGGGAAAGCAGTGGAAGGTCTGGCCAAGTCAATCTCCAGACTGAAACCCTGTTGAGCGTGCATGTGACCTGCTAACGAGAGACTGAAGGGAGAAACCCCCGAAGCAAACAGCAACTGAAAGAGACTCGGTGAAAGCCTGGAAGAGCATCACAAAGAAGAAAGCAAAGGTTTGGTGATGTCAAAGGGTCGCAGGCTTGATGCAGTTATGCAAGCAAAGGATTTGAAACTAAATATGAATTATTATTCACTTTTCACACTTTTTTAAGTCTGTGCTGTATCTTTAAAAACAATGCTATCTTCTAGCAGTGGCTCAGTAGTCCGGCAGTGTCTCAGTCAGTAGGGGCTTGGACCGTGAGCTGCAGGGTTGCCGGTTCAAGTCCCGGAACAGACTTAAAGTATGGAGTGTGGACTGCTACTTGGAGAGGTCCCAGTTCACATCCTGCCCAGCCGTGGTGCCCTTGAGCAAGGCACCGGACAACATACTATAGTTTATTTTACTTTTATAGTTTTTTATGATATTTCAGTTGACCAGCTCGACTGCGCTAGAATTTGAAAATACACCGCCGGAAAAAATCTGCCCCTTCCTCACAGAGCCCCTCCTCCAACACACACGAACGCACACATGACCAATGAGGGCACGAGATAAGTTTGTGCCCAGATGGAAGGCTGACAGGCAGGTAGGCCATCCAGTTAGCCGGGCCGGCTCAGATGATTGGTCGTGCTTTTTACAGCGCCACGTCTTCCACAGGTGAAATTTTTTTTATGGATTTGTTGTCAAAGCACTTAATATATCCATTGCTATCGGGATGTTAAGAGCATTCCATGGAATATAACAAAAAGTGTATCTGAAATAAATGACATGCCCCACCTTTAAGCAAAGTACACAGCTTTTAACTTCTTCTATTCTTTGATTACTAGCCTTTACCATGTGGAATGAAGCGTGATTGAGCATGAAAACTGAGTAGTTAAAATGATGTACTCTTACATATCAATTCATTATTGCAAAGCATTGATTTTACACATGAGTTGATCACTTTAAACACTCAGCATTTACACCAGCATCATTAGTTCGATGATTTGCCATCAAAGCGTAATTCATGAGCAATAAATTAACATCATCGTTTTTTGATACAGCAGGTTCATGTGTAGGTGTTGTACCTCCTCTGGAGGACTCAGTGGGACTTCTTTGAGCCTCCTGAAGTACAGGCTTGTGTAGGTCTGAGCGTCTCGGGCCCGCCGCAGAGCGAAGTCCCAGCTGCCCCTGCGCCGCTGCTCCCGTATCTCACTCAGGTTGGCCTGGATGGCAAACATCCACCACTGCCGGCAACTGCAGGAGAAACCAGGTCAAAGGATCGAACGGGGGTGCACGCCGCATACACACAGTTTCAAATGTAAAGTGAACAAAGTGAACTGTTTGCTGAACTGTTTGCTCCTATTTAGAAACATTGTTGGGAACGTACTTTCTCCGAAATGGGCACCTTGGTCTCCACTTTGGTAAGCATCTCTGTCTCCCGACGGTTCCAGTCTCCTTAAGAGAATGACAATGATCTGCTGGTATTGGGACCGGTACACACACACACACACACACACACACACACAACACACACACACCACACACACACACACACACCACACACACACACACACACACACACAACACACACACAGCACACACACACACACACATTCACACACACACACAACACACACACAACACCACACACTCACACACACACACACACACAACAAACACACACACACCACACACACACACACACACACACAACACACAACACAACACACACACCACACACACACACACACCACACAAAACACACCACAACACACAAACACACAAACACACACACACAACACACACACACACACACACACAACACACACACCACACACACAAACACACACACACACACCACACACACACCACACACACCACACACACACACACACACACACACCACACACACACACACACACACACACACACACCACACACACACACACACACACACACACACACACACCACACACACACACACACGAATGGCTTATTTAACAGAGCCCTGTAATGATACCTATAAAGTAATCTTATGTTGTTGATAAGAGAGTGTGTCAGGTGTTCACACAGACCTGTGACAGGCGCAAGGACATGGGCTCCAGCTGAACTAGGCCCTCGATGCGTGGCGTGTGTCGGGCCCTCAGAGGCTCCTTGGAAGTGTTTCTTCTGAGCAGCACGGAGGCACACACAGGTTCAAAGATGTACTGATGCGTGCGGCTCTGCATACACCGGGTCATCGCATCCTAAACCGTCACAAACAATCAGACATCTGAAACTTCACCTCCTTAACCCGCTCCCTACAGAGGTGGTGTGACAGGCAGGTGACACATGTTGTAAATCTGTGGGACGGATAAAGGTATTCTGATTCTGATGTCTGACAGCGCAAGGGTTCCAACAAGCAGATTTGACTATGTGATTCAAAATGTAAGAAGAAAGTAAATTACTATCATTTATTGCTGTGTGTGAGTTGTGTGTGTTTATGCGGTGTGCACTTCAGATTGGTCAGGTATGAGTAAGGATGAACCTTGTATAAAGAACTGTGATACTGTGTTCCCAGGGTCTGACCTGGATCTGGTTTGCGGGCAGCTTCCCCAGCATTTCACTCTCTGTGTCCCAGTACACGCTGAAGTCTTGTATCTCCAGCTGCTTCTGCCGGAGCTGCTTCTGGACCTGGAAAGAAAATAAACCCCCAGTAAAGCTCACATGTGGTAGACCAGGATCAACTACAAAAATATGTACGACACATGTAATTCATCAATAGAAGATACCAAGTTATCACTACAAGAAAAACTTCTTTAGTGAATGCAATATTTGACCTTTTTAAGATGTTGGTTACACATAAATTATGACTAATTCTAGCACCTTTATTTATTTGATCTCATCCAATAAAAGCCTGATGATAATGCAGTCTGACATCTGGTTGTAGAATAAAATACATTCTGGGCATATAGTGCATTGTCTAAATGACAGAGCAGGGCTTATCGTGTTGTATTTATTAATGACTCCTAGGTGTGTGCGGGGCTAACTTGAATCTTTAAATGGTGGATGCGGCAACATGTGGAAGGAAAATATGTTGTTTCTGAAAGAAAGAACCCAAACAAATATGAAGCACAATATTTGGTTAGATTTAAATGTTGTGGATCATTTTTCAGTAAAAATGTACTCCTGGATTTTATAACTCTCTTTACCTGACATTGTGCACAATTAGCAGCTTGGTATGCGTAAGAGAGGGCCTCCCGGGAAACACTCACCGTCTCTTTGGAGGGGTTCTGGGCAGAAACGTTGTTGATGCAAACCCCAAAGGCAAAGGGTTTCTCTGGGTTGGAGAAGTCATCCTCAAATCTGAGATGCACATCTTGGATGTTCAGCTACGAAGAGAAGTGAGAAATGAAAGGTCAGTGTGTAACAACTACCTGATTACTTTGACCCACTGCAGGTCAGGAAGGCAGCATGGACATGTGGAAGTATTGTATGATGTATTCAGGTATTCTTCTTACTTCTTTTAGTTGCAGTAAGTATTTTAGGTACACCAAGCTTAAAGGACAAGTCTTAAAACAATTGGAAGTTGCCCTAATGAGCCCTGAACCGGGGTGCACTTACTGTAACAATCCTAAAAGTGTCCTCCCTCCCCATGTTAGTGATGGGGTACATTTACTCAAGTACTGAACTTAAGTACAATTTTGAGGTACTTGTACTTTACTTGAGTATTTTAGGTTACGTTGTACTTCTACCCTACTACAATTCAGAGGTAAATATTTTACCTTACGTACATTTTCAGATATAGATTAATGATAAACAATATAATAACACTTAAATACAGTAAATTCACAAGCTACCCTGCAGTAAATACAATAATTATAATATGTTCCACCTTTACAAGCTTGATAAACACATTAATACATCAAAGATTATAATGACAACATATGATGGGCCAATCGTCATAGGGGGTACTTTTACTTTTGGTACTTTAGGTATATTTACATGCCAATACTTTTACTTGAGTAATCATTTGAATGCAGGACTTTTACTTGTAACAGAGTATTCCTACACTCTGGTACTTCTACTTTTACAAGTACAAGATCTGAGTACTTCTCCCACCTCTGATAGGGGCTAAAATCCACATATTTTGACCCCCCCCCCCTCCCCCATATATTCCAAAGTTTCTTTAGTGTATCATTTGGAACACTCCATTGACAAACAACTATTCAGTGTACCACCGTCATGCACTGGACTGGGGTGTGGTTTGAGCTCATGCAGAGATGATACGTATTGTTTCTGATACACACAGTAATGTTGAATGGCTTACCTCAATGTTTTCCACAATCCTGGTGACCGCTGAGGCGGTGGCAGAGTACCAGTACGACTCTCCTCTCTGCTCACACTCACTCTGCAGGGGGTTACAAGTCAACATGTAAAGAGGTGAGTAGACATCAGGATTGTCATTCCTGCACAACCCTCAGAATTCTGCACATATTTTATTTTATTATATATTATTTGTACGGTTATACCTATATTTCATCCATATTCAGTGTAAATGTTGCTATATTTTAATGTTATTATAGTTTTCTTAAAATCGTTTTATTTTGATGAATGTATGCACCAAAAACACCAAGACTAATCCCTTGTATGTGTGTGTTAAGATAATAAAACCTGTTTCTGAGCAGATGCATGACACAATACAAGGAGGCAGCAAACACACTACATTATTACATGTCCTCGTCCCATTCACTGTAGATAAGGCACTCTGTTTAACACTTCAGAAGTGAGAGGAATCTGATACCAGTGCTTTCTTTGTCTCAGATTTTTTAAACTTTAGAAATAATAATTTAGGTCCACTACTTTGGTTATGTTTTGTTTTTTTATTGTACAGGCTAGAGACACAAAACATGGATATAACGATAACAAAAATAGGAGACATTCCTATCTCAGACAAAAAAACTAAATACAGTCAGTAGGTCATTTCCACATTTCATTAAAAGAAAAAGAGGTTGACAGTCCAATATCATCAAACGCACATACCACAACATGGCAAGCATACTTATATTTATTGTTCCTTTGTATCCCACTCTTCACTAGAGCTGGTTGTTTCCCATGTCATGGTGTGTTGAGCCACCCTTTGATTCTTTGTGGCAATCATCCTTTCCAAAATAAATTGTGTTTTTAATCTACTTTTCACACACCTTAAATTCAGATGTTTCCTTGATTGAGTTTTAAAAATAAGTATTTAGTATTCATCAACTGTGTATTGTCCTCATCCAAAAGCTCAAACAAAACACCAAAGGGAGTAAATGCAAAATCAATATAAAGTGTCTTAAGCCAATTTTGAATCTCAGTCCACAGTCTTGCAACGTATGGACAATAAACAAATAAATGCATCTGGTCTTCCTCTTCCTCCTCACAGAATCTACAAAGTGGTGACGGTTCGATATTAAAAGTGTTGAGTTGTTTTCTTGTAGCGGTAATCTTGTAAAAGATCTTCAGTTGGAAGATTCTTGAATAGGAATCAATTGTTGTTTTGTATATGGTTCTAAAAGATGGTTGTCAGAATGTTACATTCTTCTTCCCAGAAAGAACAGACCGCGTGAGGAAAAGCAGTGCTCTGTAAACAGTGATTATACATTATTTTATTTATTTTCATTTTTGATAGCCATTTCTGACTTCTTGTATGAGGTGTACAGACCTGTTGTCGGTTTCCATCTTTTTTTAATGTACGTTTCCAGTTAGTTGGAGTAGCTGAAAGCAGCTGGTTAAAGTGAAGGAAATCACATATCTGACCATCCAGCGAAAACACTGATATGAAATTAAATTACCTGAGCTATCTAGTTAATCATTCATACAAATAATTCCTTTTCTCAGGAGACTTTCCCATAATAGTGGTTTCCCATCTATTCAAACTTCTGAGTTCAACCATATGAATTGATTTTGGATTTCTTCTGGTGTGTCTGGGGTAATACTGGAAACTCAACCAAGCCTTCAATGCATCTCTAACAAATGGTGAGCTTTCTACTAGTATTCCTTTGAATAACCATTCACAGTGGTGAGGTTTTCAATTGGAAAAGGGAAACAGTTTACAGTCAAAATATAAATGCCCCGAAAAATAAGTTCTGACTTGTTCTCCAAAGACTATCATGGTAAATCTTATGAATCCAAGATGCTTTGAAGGATGAATTCATTGCTGCAACATTTTTTAAGTTTAGTCCACCATTTTCAAGTGTATTATATATGTATTGCCTTTTCATCTTGTCAGGCTTAAACGTAAACATTCGTTGTTCAAAGCTTTTAAAGCTTGAAATATGTGCCTCTTAAATGTTCCTATTGTCATAATACAGCGCTTATCGCAGCAAAGTAGTGTCATTGGTCTCCAAAGCTTCATATAAACAGGACTCTTGTAATGCCCCTCTGGGTCTTGCTTCAGCAACAATGTGATGATGCCCTCTTTCCGTGTATCTGATCATATTCCTTGTGTAAAGGAGTAGTTAAAGGATGCCAATAGAGGTTCTCTCATTCCTGTGTAGAAGGTTTTATAAACCTCAACAGGTATACCGTCAATCCCTGGTGATTTACCAGGAGCCAAGGAATTCATAGCATCCAGTAACTCTTCTTCTAAAATGTTTGCCTCACAACTTAGTTTCTGATCTACTGACAGTATCTGATCATCATTCTTTTGAACAAATAACTCAATATTGGATCCTACAGGAGACTCTGGAGCCAGAGCATATAAGCTTTAAAATAATCCACCTCTCCAGCTAATATTTCCTGTGGAGATGTGAGTAAAGTACCATTTGGCGTATACAAGCTCATGGTTTTTTGGCAGAATTTCTTTGGTTGATTCTTAAAAAGTGAGCCTTACACTTTTCCCATCCATGTGGCACGGGATCTATAAATGATACCATTTACACGCTCAGAGTATACATGTTCCAGTTCTAGTTGTTTATTTTTGATCAAATAAGTTGTTTCTATACGTAACAATTGCTTTTCATCCAACGTTTTAGTCAATTCATTCACCTCCTATGAGTCTCTCCTCCTTTATCAAATATTGTTTTAGTTTCCATGACCCCATCTTAACAGCGTGTCCTCTAAAAACACACTTAAAGGCTTCCCAGACGTTGTGAGGGTCCCATGAATTATTATTCATTTGAAAAAAATCTTTGATTAGTTCTTTAGTTTTTTCAATAAAATCTGTATCATTTCAAAGTGATAGGTTGAACTTCCAACACCCCGCCCTTTGGGATATTCTGCTGTAATAACTTGCAGTGTTACGATGGCATGGTCAGATCTTAATCGCTCACCAATACTACATTTTAATACATTGTGAACCAGGGAAAAGGTGATAAGGAGGGGACGGGTGACGCAAATTGTTTGTTTGTCCGTTTCTTGCTTGGTAAAGTTGTTTTTTCCGCCGTTACACCCGATCGCAAATTCATCCCCTGTTAAAGTTTAGTTGTGAGCGCAAACAGAGATATTTAAAACACCATATCCTTCTTCTTTTCCTTCTTGTGGGGTTGAAGAGCTACCCAGCTTTTCACGCTGCCGCCATCTTTAAAGGTATTTTGGTAAAAATGTGTTGGTGTAAAGTGACACGTACATACAGCGCAAAAAAGTTATACGTTGCACAAGTGAATCTATTGTAGGGTCACACCTTAGAAGTTTTTTTTGTATACCTTCACTTAGGGGAGAAAAACAAGAGCACCTTTAATGATGTATAACGTAGATCCACCTACTTTGAATTTGTCCTCCAGGGCTTTGAGGAGGCGTGTTTTGCGCTCCCTCTCCTCCTCTCTCTCCTTCTCTCCGTCGTATTCCTGCAGCTGAATGGGGCCAATGATGAGGTTGAGCTGGGACATGGAGATCACCCATGGGTCACTGTGAGGCCGGTAGAAAGGGATCTGCAGAGTAATCTTTCCAATGAAGCCTGGGGAAAGACAACATGATGCATGGATCCCACTGGAGGAAACATCCTGCATACGAGTATAGGTGTATGAGTGTTTGTGAAGCTGCTGCAGACGTTTTGGATCATCTCTAACCACGTGCTGTTAGAGTTAGACTGACATTTAAACAGCTCAAGTGGAGTATGTTAAACTATGCTCTTTGTCATTAGTTGAAGTTGAAGAAGTGCCAAAAAGATGTTGTGTTATATTATATACTTTGTTTATGTCTAAAAGCATATGAGTGCCCCAGAGGACCTGAACGATCAGTGTTCTGTTGATGAGGAGCACTGAGCCTGGGCTGCCCTCAGGCTCCAGTCGTTCAATGTTGAACAGACAGCCTTCACTAGAAGCTGGAAGTGTTTAGGTTTCTTCTTTTTTTTCTAAAAGGCATTGAACCCTTACGCCTCACTAGAGAATGTCTTTGATTTTGAGCATCATACATTATGTGTTATTCTGTACGTACACGTCCTGGCATGAGTGTGAGTTTTACAAGTTGAACCTCAGCTCCTTAACTCCCTGACTTCCTTTGCGACGCGCCACCCAAAATACCCTTGAACTCCTCTCATTTGAGAAGAGAAGCAGGCATTCACCGTCATTACATCAGAGCACACGTTAGCAGACATCAGAATCCTGACTCAGCTTACTATGATGGACAGAAGGCACTGACAGGCTCTATGAGATACTTGCAGTGCACATACAAGAAGTCTTCATCTCTTCAGTACAGGCAGGTTGACTCGTCTTTTCATACATTAGCCATCCGTAGGATTCATCTGACAATATCATTTGATGTACACATATTGTTGAGATTTTGTCCATTAAAAGTAAACATTTATTCACCAAATGTTGGCCACTATTATTTCTGGCGCAATATGAGACCCAGTAAATGTGTCCTGAACGTTAAGCTTGCTGCCGTTAAACTTCATCAACATGACCCAGCTAAACCAGCGATGTCTGCGGCTGACTGAAAAGTGGGTCTAAACTAAATACTGATCTTTGGGTGATGGCTATTTACCAGCCATATTGAAAACTGATGCCATGCCATGTTATTTTCAGTTGAGTAAAGTTGTTGTTCAGCACTGAGAATCATTACCTTACATAAACACATTTATCGAAGCACATGCACAGTTGATGTGTGGATAAGCTTTTGTCTTTCAGAGCACTCCCCTATTCCACTTTGGATATTGTTTTGATAGTTGTGTTTAAACGTTGTGTGGCTCACCTGCTTTTACTTCAAATGGAAGGTCAAACTCTCGGAGGGCATCTTTCCTCAGAGGGAGGTTCTCCAGCTCCACGGCCCCTGAGGAGCAACACCGTCACACACACTCAAATACCAACTGGGATTTACACAGTGACCAAGGGATTTTCCAATATAAAGGATCACACTTTAACAAATGTAACACAGTTCCTTACAAGGGCATAGACTCAGTTGCCATCATTAAATTGAGATGACACAAAGGATGAACATGGGCTACTGCTATCGACCAATGTCATCTGATTTGCAGATGACTTCATCGTGTTGCTTCAATTCTATCATGGCTAGATGTTGTTTTACTTTTTTGCAGCTGGACTCAGCACAGTAACCAGCTGCTTGTTGAGCTTGGGGTGGGCGGGGTCACATATTAAGAGGACAACCATCAGAGAAAAATACACTGTCTGTCTGTCTGTGGTACGCCAGGATGGGGTCAGAGGATTAGATTTGTGTATCCACTGGTGATTATACTAATTAGAGTTTTGACTCTGGTGGTCAGTCCGTACACTTACAGTATCATCAGTAGGTATTTAATAATGATTATGTTTCTCGTGATAGAGGTCTTTGTTACAGGCTGGTCCACAGAGTTGTATGATTACATTTGTGCTTATCCAATGATAATCGGCCCAGAATGTAACATGCTCATGTTCATCCTGGTATAGAACAATGTAGCATGGTTTGTAAAATAATCTGTTAGAACCTGAAGTAATGCATGTGTAATTACCTTTGAGAAGGGCGATGGAGAGCTGGTCTGTGTTCAGGTTGCTGACATATTTCCCCAGGTATGTGTTCAGCACCCAGGCCACCAGGCCTTCCAACATCCTGCAGGCTTCTCTGAAGTTCAATGTCTAACAAACATAGGAAACATGTCTTATTGATATATAGAAATACGATGGCTTCATAATGTCATGAGTGAAAACGGTATCTCCATTAGGCAATCTTCTCCTATATGGGTGAGCAAGCATCTGCAGCAAAGTCATGTCTAAAATCCAGACTTTTAAATATAGAATTACTCAAGTGTGACTACAAGAATGATTGAACTTTGATACATGTCATCATACAAGGCATAAGGCATGTGCTCCATAAACCTCCTGCTTGCCTCTGTTCCCTCCTCCTGTGAAGCTGACCCTCTGAGGGCTCAGCAGGGACGGGAGGTCCGAACGCTCAACAAGGCCACGCCATTTTCTGGGACGCCTTTTAGAGACATTTAAAGCGACAACGTACTCTCCAACGGGAATTTATTTTTGTATTATATTAACTAGCTAATTAAAGTGAAAGAAATGGAAGTACACCACACTCAAGCTTTCTGACGTCGTATCATCAATGACCAGTGTTGGGTGTAACGCGGTACAAAAGTAACGGAGTTACAGTAATATATTACTTTTTGCTGTAACGAAGTAATGTAACGCATTACTAATGACATTTGGGTAATATATTACCCGTTACAATGCTCAGTAACGCAGTTACAACACATTTTAACCCGAAATTAAATGGTGTTTTGTTTTTTAAGAATTCACAAATATCGCAAGACATTCCGACACCGGAGAAAAAATGTGCGGGTAGATTAATAAACCTGATGCATTGTTTACTATTGGGTTAAGATGGCGGGAGGAACTTTTGAGCGATGGGTGTTCTCACATTATTATCAGTTCATTAGAGAAAAAGATAAAAACATAATAGTCAAGTGCAATCTATGTTCGTCGGCAGCAAAGGAATTGTCTACATCAAGAAATAGCACTAGCAACTTAAAGAAACACCTGGACCGGTGCCACGCTAACACTAAGTTAGTCGAGAGATCTGCCGGCTCGGAGAAAAGAAAACATACAGAAGACGTGAGTGCGGGCACGCCGAAGCAACACAAGTTAACATTCTCTCGGTCTTCTATGATTCTGGAACCCCGACAAGTTAAGAGACTGGTGGCAGAGTATGTTGTGGAAGACATGCAATCTCTGTCAACTGTGGAGTCGCCGGCATTTAGAAAGCTTGTCAGCAAAATCCCTGTCAACACCACCAATGACAAGGTAAGCTAACGTTGCAATAGAGACTTTTTAATACAGTGGTTACCGGGCCATGCCGAGGCTGTACTACCATGTTAGCGACCAGCGACGTAATTGTAATGTTGTTATATTTTGTGTGTGTGTGTGTGTGTGTGTGTGTGTGTGTATCTTATTCCACTCGCTTTGTACATGGTTAGCTTAAATGTGATACTGCTGCCTGGTGGTAAACAGATGTATTGCCTATACATAAGCACCTATCATGACAGTAATGTTACCGGTATCCAAATATTATTTAGCCCAGTTATAAATGGAGCATTAGTTTATTATCTAGCATGACTTTAATATCTCTATCTTCTTAATTTTCAGCAAGTGTTGCCGGAAAGAAAGACATTTGCCAAAGAGTTGGATAAAGAATATGCTATCATGGAAAAGGAGCTGAGGAAAACTATCGATGCCCAGGATTATGTGTCAACAACGGCAGACATATGGAGTGCTAACAACAAAAGTTTCTTGGGGGTGACTGTGCATTGGATCGAAGCAGATACCTTGAAACGAAAGAAGGCTGCGATCGCTTGTAGAAGATTTAGGGGTCGACACACGTACGACGCAATAGCAACAGAGCTGGAGGACATTTTCTCTCAATATGGACTTACCAACGATAAAGTGACTGCATGTGTGACGGACAACGGGAGTAACTTTGTGAAGGCGTTCAAGGAGCATCAGCAGCGGCAAGTGGAGTCCGATGAGGAGGAGGAGGAGGATGAGGTGGATGGCGATGGTGAGGCAGACTTTGCAGACCTTCACAGTGTGCTTGCCGCCGCCAAAGATGATAATGCCCGGGACGGGCTATGTGTACTGCCTCCCCATCATAGATGCGCAGCCCATACACTTAATGTAATTGCCAACAATGAGGTTGATAAATGGCTGTCATCTAACGTAGAATCTAGGGCTGTGTATCGTAGTGCTACAGCCAAATGTTCAGCGTTGTGGACGAAGGCCAGTCGCATCAGAGTTCCTGGAAGAGGTCAGTGGTAGAAAGTTGATTGTCCCCACAGTAACAAGGTGGAACTCATACTTTGACGCCTATTCTCGGATCACAGAAATGCCCCTCACTGACATCAATAATATCTGCACACAATTTCAAATGAAATGTATGAACGACAGGGAATACCAGTTTCTCAAGGAATACTGTTCCATTATGAAGCCTTTCACAGTTGCACTGGACATCTTACAGGGTGAGGACACTTGTTTTTATGGAACGCTTCAACCAACACTAGAAGTTCTCATGGGAAAAATCTTAGCAATGAAAACTGGCCTATCAGCAATGACCACTGGGCTGCCTGAAGTTATTGTGGGAGCAATCAAAACCCGATTTGCCGCAATAATTGACTCCAAGGAAGCGCTGCTTGCCGCTGTCTCACTGCCCAAGTTTAAGCTGCGTTGGGTAAAAGAAGAAGCCAGAAGAGACCATATCAAGATACTCCTCATGTCAGAGTGTCGTTCCCTAACAACACAAGAGCCTGCAGCCCTCATGCCCGATGTCCCTCAACCTGCTGCTGTTGCCTCCAGCGAGGAGGATTTGTTTTGCCTTTGACTTACAGCCCGTTACCACAGCTGATGCGCCCATGTCTGTGGAAACAGAGGTAATGTCTTATTTCAATTCTGCCCCTACGATGGAAAGTCTGCACCAGTTTCCAAGAATTAAAAAAATCACACTCCGCTGTAATGCCCCAACGCCATCCAGTGCACCAGTAGAAAGACTTTTCACTCAGTCTTGGAAATCTTGTGCTCACCCCAAAACGCAACCGTCTCGGTGATGGACGCTTTCAACGCCTTCTCCTGATGCGCTTCAACCGTCATTTCAGTCAAGGCGGTAGTGGAATAGGCCAGCCCCCCACCATAGAACAATAAGTAGGCTATAGGTCAAGGCTTTAAGGGCTTTCATACTTAAATGTATTTTACGAGCCTTAATTGGCTGTATTCTACCCTGGCAGTAACAGGTTTCCTGTTTATTTTATTTTTTTCAATATTCCAATGTGTGTGTTAAATATAGTGGAGCTTCATTTGCTTTGTGAAGTATTTCCTACGAGGCCCTTTTTTTGTATTTAGATTTGACCAGACTTTGTTTGGTAGCCTATGTTCTAGGCGTTGTTTGGCAAATAGCAGGGCTCCTATTTTTGGCCTACGTTGCATTTAGTAGCAATCTTAAGCAATGTTTGGCTTACATGTTAATAGTGTTGGACTGAAAATGGCTGAGCCGTTAGCTATTCCTTGAGGCCTAATCCTTTTCGTATTTTGGATAAAGCTTCTTCTTTGTCCACTCAATACATTCAAACTTCTTGTGCTTGGAACTTGAATTAAATAAAAGAAAGTAACAAAAAGAAAAATATATTGCACACCTTGTCATTTCATAATGTTATAGATTTCATTATAGTGAGCTCTAGCTCTAATTGTATTTAATATAGGCCTTATAAATATTTACAGTATCTCTACCATAATTGACCAGACGTTGATCCTTTGTCTGCTTTAAATAAGTGTATACATTGTTAGTAGCCTTAAGGGCCTACACAGTTGTTATGCTATACCACATCGCCCTTCACTGGATGTAGAATGAGCTGCACTAAACTACATTTCAGCATTTAAAACACCTAGCCATTCTTTTGCGGTTATTTTGGTGAAAGTAACTAAAAAAGTAACTAAAGTAGTGTAACTCATTACATTTCAGAGACAGTAATATTGTAATGTAACTTATTACTTTCAAAAGAGAGCAATAAATCATATGTAATATATTACATGTTGGAAGTAACTTGCCCAACACTGTCAATGACAGAGCTCATGTGCCTGCAGTGACTTCATAGAGGGAAAGCAGTTACAGGGTATATCAGTTAACAGCATGGTCACCAAAGAATGCCTTATCACACGTTTGCAGTTTAACAGTTACTTTAAATGTTCAATTGAATGTAGTACAAAATCTTAACAGGACGTCACTTTAACTAGCGTTAACGTAGTAACCAGACAGAGTGACTTCTTACCGCCAGAGACGACAGGTGTTCATCCGCCCAGCTTCAGTCCATGTCAGCCTAACCCCGCTGTCAGTAGGTGCTCATGGCTCTTCAAAAGCACTGAGAACAGGACTCCAGTCTGTCGTTAAACTTCGTGAACTGCACACCATGGGCTGCAGGCAGTGACACTACATTAAGCTACAGGGAAAATAACAACGGGTTTGTTTAAAAGCTGTCAGGAGCATACAGAGCTAAACTGCTGCTTGTTGACGGACAGGGCAAGGTTGTTATCTACTTAGCTAGCCACTTTGCTAAAACTAGCTCGCCCCGGTGGACAAATAGCAGCCAGAAACCAGCAGCTGCGTTAATCTGACTCAGAGACAACACCGACCCGTTTTCTCTGGAAACACATTTAACCTCGAAAACAAGTGGTGTTTGTTGTATTTCCAGACTTCAGAGTTGTGTCGTATATAGACACACTTCCCATGTACCGATGAACGTCCAACACTTACTTCCTGTCATGTGACGAAAACAAACTGCTCCTTTCGTGTGGCGTTCAAACAAAACCCGGAAAATGTGTATTAAACTGCACATTTTTAATATAAGCCTAGTATAAGGTTTACAATCCTGTATTCCAAAAATAAAATAAAAAGCCAAGCCAAAGCCATTAAAATATAAACTCAAATATAAATATATTAAACACATTTAGATATAGCCCTCTATGGTTTAAAATGATGTATCTCTGTAAAAACTAAATTCAAGCTGCAGCCGAAAACATGCAATGTAAAAAAAAAATTATATTGACAAAATATTACGTTGAGTAGTGTTCTGTTGAGATACATCACCAACAACTCCAAAAGAAATTGCTGGTAGTTAAGAGCGTATTTCCCTGATGCATTTATCATTAGGTGGAAGCAATTGTTATCAGTACCATCACAAGGAAGTAATCATCTGTATGACCCAACTCCGGGTACACAGGACAAAAAGAACGCAAACGCCACATGAGAACTTCTGGCAAGACTCGGCTTACATGATGTCGTTTCCTCCACAGGGGGACGCTGTTGCATAGAGTGGTGCAGTGACGAGTCCTAAAACCCGGAAGTGAGTTAGCATTTTACCACTACCGGTTCCCTGGGTGTTTCTCAACATAGGGCCCTTCTCACTTCTCTTATTTTTCATTTCCTCGCTCCTCGGTCTCGGTCTCACCGGAAGTCGATTTGTCTGCGCCATCTTGAGTAGCGTCCCAATGGCCTTATTTTTGCCGGAGGACCGAGGATCGAGGAGCGAGGAGCGATAATGGAGGAGCGATAATCGAGGAACCACCAGACCATCCTCCGATGAAATCCTCAGACACTCGCCCAGCCCCTTACTGTGTATCGCTCACTGATTGGACGAGGCAGTGCATGCACTGATCTGATGCTTCTTGACATGAGAGCAGAGTGAAGAAAATACATGAACCTCACGAGAGTCACTCCTCAGTTTATACCGTGTTTTGTTTCAATTCATGTATCATTTAGTTACAAATATGTGATATATCTGAACAACAAAGTGGTCAAAAATCATTTTATTCATTTTTTGGAAACATTTTCATGATCGCTTTTTTCGTTTTACATTTTCATTTACTGTCATTTCCATTCAGTCAGTCATTAAGTGCTATTAAAATGTTAATGTGCTACATATCCACACAAACAAACAAAGTGTGCAATCCAATGAATGTTAATCTAACTGGGTTTTGATAGATAACATAGGCCTATCTCTTTTTCTTCTTTCAATTATTTTATTTCTATTGTGCACTTTAATCAATATTAATCAAACTATTGTTATTGTATACATTTTAAGAAAGGCGTTTATCTTTTTTGAGAATTAGTTCTTATTTTATTTTATTTATTTGGGTCTACAACAGATGATACAAATGTTTGTGTCAGTAAATGTGTACTAACAGAGGCGGGGGTGTGTGTGGAAATAACGGGAACAGAGCTGCTGTCAGACGATCAGCTGTGCAGCGTCATCACAAACGGACGTCGCTTCACGTGACGCTCCGGAGGAAAGGACGTCCCATTGCTCTTAAAACTAATTTCCCTGGTTGCGTTCCAATAGTCCATTTAGCTTAGGAACCTTCCTAACCAAGTGAAATGACCCGGAAGTCCGTCAGTGGCAGCCATGATAAGTGCCGTTCCAATTCTCTAAATGAAAGGAAAGGAGGTTTCAAACTTCTTTTATAACCTCCTTTAGCTTAGGAACCACTGGACCTCCCTTGACGAAAGGAGAGGAGAAAATGCTGCCCCACAATGCATTGCAGTCGCAGCATTTGCCGTCACTCAACAGTCGGCCGTTCACGAAAACAACCGATGATGACGGAGAAATTATATCATGAAAGTTACGGTGCTTATTAAGCATTTTAAAACGTATGTGGTAAGTTGCCAAAGTGCTTTGTGTTGAACGTTCGTCAGTATTATAATCAAAAAGAGAAATATGAACGTTAGTTTTTACTGAAATGATCAAATAAAGTCAACATCTCACAGTCTTTACTGAGCTGTGTGGGGTTTGTTCAACTTTTAAAAGATGTTTGAATGGTGATATACACACTGATAGATGTTAAGGACTAACGTTTATAATAAATACATTTGTATTGATTTTAAGATATTTTCATAGTACAATCATATGTATTGGGATCATTTGGGATCACTTTCCTTTTTTATTTCAATTCCAACTTTGGTCATGAAGAATATGTTTCTCTGTTGTCCCCGTTCATAAAGCATAAAGCAACAGCACCAGAGCACGGTGCAGAGTCTCTAGATGAGTTTACAGTAGTCCCTCGTTCTTATTATACATCCATGTTGTAGTCCACTGTATAGAAAACTGTAGTTTCCATAGTTTCCCCACACCAGCAGACGCACACAATGACGTCCGCTGGCGCATCATAAACACGTCGGATAGTGAAAGTGCATTCGGATTCTCTAAAGTACCGCAGTCTCTTCTCCTAAGTCCTTTTGAATTCTCCTATCCACTATCCCTTAACCCCGTGACGTTTCACTCAGAGGTCAAGGAATAGGAGATAGGGTTAGAATTTAGGAGCTTATTTTTGGATTATCGGAACGCAACCCCTGCTTCTCGTGGTTTCCTTGCGTCTCTCCATGCTTCCCTGGTGGGCAACACACTCTCACTCCCTAAGCGTCCAATAACGACGTTTGGTCAGTGTCCGTGGCGTCCAGTTGTGACGCTCCTAGGCTCCTTCAGCTTCATAAAGGGACGCAAATAGCTTTCAACTGATTGCAATGTATTCCCATCTGCGGCGGGATTTTGACGCTCATGGAAGCACGGCATTCGTTTGTGTCGGCTGCCCTTAAAGGCAATGTGAGCGTCCATTCCCATTGGATAACGGAGAATTGTACACCCGGAAGTAAGTATTCCCCTTACTGTCGATTGATTTTACAGTGATATCTGCACTACTCATCGACTAAAAAACACCAGATTATCCTTGTTAATTACACAACATTGATTGGTTTAAATTGTGTGCAATGCTTTTGTATTTTTCCCCTTCGATTCGGAGAAACAAATATTTTTTCGGAGTAAAGGATGGCAGAAGATACTACACTACCCAGAAACCCCAGCTATCGTTTGGACTACACCATGTGCTCTGTTTGACGTCACGTGATCTTCAAATTTCTCCCTGCAGAAAAAGAAAACATGGCCGAACTTCGTTTTATTCTCGGTGGAAAATTCCTATTTTAAAGTTAGTTTGGCCATTAAAATGCGTTTTGATGTCATTTGATGCGAGAAATATGAGTTGTTATTTCAGATTATGTGTGCAGTGGATGTACATGATCTTTAGTTTGCTAGTTATTACGAAGATTACTTCAGGAAATCGCGACGTTTTCATTGTTACCAAGGTGGTTGCTAGGGACGCTGCTATCGATATTATTTCTGTTATGTTGTGTAACTGTTTAATGGTGTTATCTTTATTGCTACCCCCTTCCCCGTCAATGTATAGTGTTGGTCCACAGCACAAACATATTAGTTTAACAAAATCCGCATCTAAAGATACGTTATTTTCCCCTGTGCAATTCCAGTCTCACATCTCACAGCACATCGTCATTAACAAATACCGGAAACAGACCGAAAACATTTAAAAAAAAATAAAATAATACTTTATTCCGAGTGTGCTTGCTTTTCTCTTTGGAAGTCATCACATAACGGCATTGTAATACACGGTTCGGCTGCATTAAATATTACATATCTGCCGTAGTTCTGTATTTATAGAGCCCTGATGAGAAGACTTCTAGACAAATATGAGGAACTGAAAACGTGACGTGGATCATAAATATATCAGCCATTAAACAACATCTTACATTTCTTTTCACACAATACGTCTCCTTGCAGTATCAACACTAATTCGGCTGACTTTTATATTTGATCCAATTGGTAGATAGGCTGTATTTACACCATAAAGGTGCACAGCTGATATAAAGGGACACCTAGTGGTTAAAGCATGTTATTGAATTTCATTATTTTTATTATTAGATATTAATAGGATCCCTATAAAGTATATTCATTACTCGTTATTATCTACTAATAGTTCATTAAAGACTGTATATCAGAGATGTTCACAAGTCTTTTTTTGCAAGTCCAAGTCAAGTCTCAAGTCTTTGGTCACGAGTCCAAGTCAAGTCTCAAGTCTCAAGTCTCTAAAAAATAAAAGTCTCATGTCTCTTCTGGTTGTAATAAGCCTTCTATTGTCTGCTGCTATCCAGTCTGTTAAGAATACTGCACAGCTATATCTAAGACATTCAAAGCATTGACTGTATTATTATCACTCCTATATCTATTAGCATACAGTATCAGTACTGATTAGTTGTTTATTATATGATCACTTTAAACAGGCTATTGCAATGCAATATGAGGACAAACATCACAGTTTAGCTAAATGCAAACAACTTATAAGCAAAACACTTCAGAATCACAAATCAGTATCACAAATACTTTATTAATCCCCCGCAGGGAAACTGTGTTAAAAGTACTTAAAAGTAAACATTTGTTCTGTGCCATTTGCAACTAAAAAACTATTGCTGCAATATTATCTGAAATATACTGAACTGGTGATATTAAAACATGACCTGTTCCAAAAGAAATATCTACCATTAACACCATTTACCAGCCAGATGCTGGTAAATCATGCAAGTGGCTGGTACTGTATGTTGCACGCACCAGCCACAAATAACAATGGCAATCTATTGAGTGGCTGGTAACATTTCAACATTCACTAGGCTAGCCATTTGGCCAGAGGACAAAAATGTTAAAATTTGACCTCTGCAACCGTATTGTTTAATTACACTGGGTCTCTAATGACATCTTTTAAGTCTACTATAAATAAACATTCCTCTATCCCAGGGGTGGCCAACCCGCGGCTCTCGAGCCGCATGCGGCTCTTTGCCTAGTTTCATGCGGCTCTTCAGTTCATATCGAATTTTATATGTGTAAGTTTGGGGGAGAGACACTGACTCCTGAATAGTGTT